TCTACATGCTGAAAGTCTGAGCCACACAGGTTAGCTCATGGATTATTTACTAAGTTGAAGTCACTTGCATCGAGGAAGAAACTCCCTGAGGGCAAAGGCTGTGCCTTATGGTGCTGTGTATCCCTTTTAACACATGGCACATAGACACATAGACAAAGGCTTCAGGTGGGCTGATAAAAAACCATCCTCAGAGAAGTCATGAGACAGGCTCCATTTAACAAAGGCGAAGCTTTGCTGAGCACAATGCAAGGACGGTGAATGGATGGCGAACAGTTGTGGAAAAAGCATTCTTTTTTTTTTTTTTGGTGATTCTGGGGTTTGAACTCAGGGCCTCACACTTGCTAGGCAGGCACTTTTACCTCCTGAGCCACTCTGGCAGCCCATAGCCTTCTTCTTTCTCTTCTCTTATTCCCTGGCACCTGCCAGTGGCTGTCAGTGCCCTGCTTATTGTCTTTCTTGTGCTGTCCCGTCCACCTGGCCTGTCTTTCATCCCTCTCTCAACTAGAAAAGTCTTCATTATCCCCAGTGCCATTCACATACTAGGTGCTTTATAAAATTTTTTGGCTTCACTAAAACCCAGGCTCTGTACCACACAAACCTGGCCCAGTACTGTGGGCTGACTCAAACTTAGCTAAGTTTCTATTCAGGTCATTCAGTTTCCTGGTAGACCTGGCATGTCAAGAGCCACAGTTTTCCTTACCATTCTGGAGCCACCAGGCTTCTGGGTAAAACGGTCTGGCCAAGAGACACAGGCTTTCATTTTTTAGAAAGGAAACCCTTCCCAACTGGTGGAAAATAAGCTTTTGCTTAGTGACTAATAACATAAACACAGACAAGATTTCTGGGCTTATAAATAATCAGTTGTAAAAGTGCCCAAGGGAAGCAGTCTGTTTTGCCAGAAGAATGGCCAAGAGTGTTCCTACCACCTTGCTGATAGTGACCCTAACCATGGGCAAGGAGCCTCGGGCCAACTGTGAGGAAGCTGGTCATTCTTCATGCAAATTCCCAGGCTTTGCTTTTACGCATTATAAATCCTGGGCTATTCTGGAAAAGTAATAAAAGATCACTGGTCCCTTTCTGCTTGAAAACCCTGTGATTCCATAGCAGCCACAATACGTTTTAAAGAGTGACACTGGTGGGGAGAGGAAAGCCTTAGGATTTTGTCTTGCCAGGGTTGTCCAAGAAACTAGCGAAGGAATTACGAGAGTAGCTTCTGTTTATTGAGCACTGGCCCAGGCGTCATGCAGAAGGTGAACTCTCTGAGTCCCTGTAACCATCTTTGGAAATTATTAGCTTCATTTGCCTGATGAGGCGAGTGAGGTCAGGGGGATTAATGTATACAGATTGTAATATAACGGCTAAGAGCTTAGAGTCAGCAGTTGGACTGCCTAGGCCCAGATCCAGCTTGGCCAGAGCCTCTGTAGCCATGGCAGTTATTGTGAGCCTTGCTGTACTCAGGTGTTCCCGGCTGTAGGGTCACAGCCATATGACGTCATTTCGTGCAAAATGCTTCTTCAGTGCCAGCACATTGAAGAAGCAATGCAGTATACGTTACTATTGCTGAGAAAGGGCTCAGGAAGCTTTGTCCCTAACATCACACATCCTCCTTGATGAATCGTTGTGCTTCAAGCCTAAAACTCTCATTTGCATATAGCTCCTCCAAAGTTACTCTCAGGGCCTGGGCCTTGAGACTGGGGATGCTTTCTGGGGTGTGTGCGTGTGTGTGACAGATGGTGGCCCAGAGCCAGGTCTGACCATGTGCAGAGTTCTCTGACCAGGCTGCCCACTCATGACAATGAGGGGGCAATCTTACTACTCAGGCATCATTTCATTCATTCAGCATTTCCTCCACTGGGTTCACATCGGTTCCTCTGGAAGTTAGTAGGAATATAGAGGTGGCCCAGGTCACCGGCAGAAGTCTGAGCTAAGGAAACCAGGCTTTCCAAAGACCATCAAATACAGGTATTGGCATTTCCCAAACATCTTATGTTTGTTTGATCATGGAGCCCTTTTCCTCCAGGATATCTTGCAGGACCAGAGCTCCAGGAAAGACACTTGGGGCTTTATTTCTCAGCTCCCTTCCAAAGCACTCAACAGAGGGATGAGGGAGAAGGTGACACTGTGAGGATGGGGTTGCTGGGGTCTTGGGGAGAAGACACAGGTGAATGAACTAGGGATAGAGAGCACTAGCTGACCTTACTGATGGAATCGGCTTAGAGAAATATCTGTTGTTTTGGGCTGAATTGAACTGCACTGTGCTTCTGCCAAGTCAGACAGTTGGAGAAGGGGGAGCCAGTCACTGGAACAGTCCTTATGTGTGTGTGAGGCAAGTGACCTGACCTTCTGACAACAGTCTCTGGAGGGCCAGTGGCTTTGGCTCCTATAAGGATGCACCACACTCTGGGGCGTGAGTTCCCTTGTTTATTTTCTTGTCAAAGTACTTTCCCACTTTCTACCTTCCTTCCTTTTTTAAAATTAGAAAACCTGCTGCTTCCCCCACTGGGCACATTGCTCCATCATTTTTGGAGCCTGAGCATCCCAAGGCAGCCTTTCAGTTTCTAAAGTTTATTGTTAATGAAAAGTCCACGCCAGGCTGAAATCCTGGCAGGAGCTGAAGCGGTGGGGTACAGAGAGGCCAGCAGACGCTGGGGCAGCCAGTTTTATCTGGCGGCTCCCCCTCCTCCTGCCTGCCTCCCTGCCTCCTTCCCCTTCATTTTATCAGAGAGGTTTGGCTGGACTTAAAGGAGCCAAGAAGGAACTGGGGGTGGTGGTGGACTGAACTTTTGCCAGTGACACAGTGTGGGAGGACAGGGGACCCAGACCTGGGGCAGGTTCCAGTTCAACTAAGTTGCTCATTGAGTGTGTGTGTGTGTGTGTGTGTGTGTGTGTGTGTCTTGGTCCCAGGCTCCACGGGGATGTCAATTAATATCGATACCAACAATAATAGCTAACGTTATTGAGTATGCCCTATAAATGCAGGCTTTGCTCTAAGCCTCAATGCTTGCTATCAATAGATTCTCCCAGCAGTTCTATAAAGTACTTACTAATTTTATTCACATCTTACTAAACTCAGGCACGGAGAGGGAGAGCAGCTTTCCTAGAGTCACACAGTCATTAAGCGCTAGACCAGGGACCCTACTTAGGAGTATCTTTCAGTCTAGCTCACAGTGCAGGCAGAGGAAATGGCCATGTCACCCATGAAATAAGTTAGCACAGTTTGAAAGTGCTGTGAGGCAAGTATCGGCCAGTACACAAGAGGCAGAAGGTAGGTAATGTGGCTGTGTATTTGAATTGGATCTGGGATGCTGAGTCGGAGTTTCCCTGACAGGTGAGACAGAAAGAGCTGAGTGCAAGGAGGTAGAAAATGCAAGTGTGAGTGTGTGTGTGATTGTGAGAAGTGGAGAATACCCCTGCATAGTAGGCACAGGGGCCTGATGGAAATACTAGAAGTCGATATGATGGAGGGGAGAGGTCCTTTCAGTAGGTTCTGGGGTACCCTACAAAGGTTTTTTTTTTTTTTAACCATACTTCCTAAGAGGGATCTATTTCAAAAGTGGTTATTGCTTATTTTGTTTTGCTCAAAGGATATCTTATGTGAAAGATCAAAGTAAGAATCAGGTAGCAATGGCGTGGCTGATTGTGGTGAGGGCCTAGGGCTTTGACTCTTCTGTCTCTCTGCATCAGTCTCAGGATGTCTCCCTGGAGTCTTGAGTTTGAACATCACTGTTAGAGAGATCACAACTGGGGAGAGAGAAGCACTCGTGGGAAATACAAGTGTTGTGGGATATGATCCCCTGGTGATCTGGAGGTTGAGGGAGAAGAGACTGGAACTGAAGGCAGGGGCTAATTCAACAGATGGTAGCTCTGTGGTTCCCCATCTTCAGGAACTAGTGGTAGCTGGTTCTAATAAGCTCTTTGGGAGGCCAAAGAGTGATTCTGTACTTGGTCTTTGGAGCCAAACTGTCTGATTGCAGATCACAACCTCCATAGGCCTTAGTTTCTTCATTTTTTTCAAGTGGTACAGTTACAGCTATTTTCTTGATGCTTTGCTGTAAGGTCTGCATACATCAACTTCTCAAAGCCTTAAGTGAGCCTGGTGCATAAAAAGTGCTATGTGTCTATTTAAGATTGTCTAAAATGCATTTATGAAATTCGAGTTCTCTCATTTACTAGATATTAATTGATCCCCTACAATATGCCGGATACCATTGTGGGTGCTAGGTATACATCAGTGAATGAAATACAGTGAGCCTATTGCCACCCACGTTGGAGATATGGGAAAAATGAATACACAGAATGGATGTGAAATAGGGCTAAGAAGGGCCCATGGGCCCATGGGATCCTGTAGGACATGGTGGGCCACATTAAGCAACTGTGAGTTTTATTTTGAGTGAGATGTATGGGAAGTTTGGATGGTTTTGAGCAGAGAGATGACAAGGTTGGGCATCTGTTTTGGAGCCAGCGTGGCTCTGTCACAGATCAAGTACCTGGTCTTTGTCAAATAGTTAATTGCCTGTGTGGTGACTCACACCTATAATCTCAGCCTCTTGGGAGGCAGAGGTAGGAGGATCATGGTCAGGCAAAAGCACAAGACTCTATCTGAAAATCAAATTAAAAAGCAAAAGGACAGGGAATGTGACTCAAGTTGTAGAGGGCTTGCTTAGCAAATGTGAGGCCCTGAATTCAATCCCCAGTACCACAAAAAATGGTTAATAGAGGGTAGCTGCGTTTTGCTTATTACCCAGTATCCTATCCACAGGAATGTGAGAGATGATCTTGGAAAAGAACCCCATTTCCCTCAACATTTTTACAAAGACGCATCCAGGCATGATGGTGATGCTGCCATTATCCACCTGGCTGGAGAACTTGCCCAAGTCCATGTGATGCTGAATGCACTGATCTGTGACCTGATCCCTTGGAAGCATTAGCCTCCCAACCTATCCGCTCAGTGAAGAGCTTGCTGGGTAAACAGGCTATTTGTTTATTGCTACCCCCCACAGTGTTTGAGAACAAAGATAAGATTGTGATCATCATGGAATACGCCAGCAAAGGGGAGCTGTACGATTACATCAGTGAGCGTCGACGGCTCAGTGAGAGGGAGACCAGACACTTCTTCCGGCAGATCGTCTCCGCTGTGCACTATTGTCACAAGGTATGACCGAGCCCGGCCAGAGCTTCGACCACAGATGGCTTTTACCGCGCACGGTGATTTTCATATTATAGAAGCAGTATCTATCTGTTCATTGTAGTCTGTATGGAGAATTTACAAACTAGAAAGAAGAAGGTCACCATTAGCTAAATCCCAGACTCTTAACCTATGTGTCCACCTCTTTGTGGACTCAAAAGACACCCATGATTCAAATCATACAGCATTTTGTCCTCAGGTGTCATTGGAAAGTACCACTGACCATATTTCCATGATTTGAAGTGTGTGAACACATGGATTCTGTTTGAATGAGGCTTTCTTTTATTTATTTATTTATTTTTATTTTTTTTCTTTTATTATTCATATGTGCATAGAAGGCTTGGGTCATTTCTCCCCCCTGCCCCCACCCCCTCCCTTACCACCCACTCCGCCCCCTCCCTCTCCCTGCTACCCCCTCAATACCCAGCAGAAACTATTTTGCCCTTATCTTTAATTTTGTTGTAGAGAGAGTATAAGCAATAATAGGAAGGAACAAGGGTTTTTGCTGGTTGAGATAAGGATAGCTATACAGGGCATTGACTCACATTGATTTCCTGTGCATGTGTGTTACCTTCTAGGTTAATTCTTTTTGATCTAACCTTTTCTCTAGTTCCTGGTCCCCTTTTCCTATTGGCCTCAGTTGCTTTTAAGGTATCTGCTTTAGTTTCTCTGCGTTGAGGGCAACAAATGCTAGCTAGTTTTTTAGGTGTCTTACCTATCCTCACCCTTCCCTTGTGTGCTTTCGCTTTTATCATGTGCTCAAAGTCCAATCCCATTGTTGTGTTTGCCCTTGATCTAATGTCCACATATGAGGGAGAACATACAAGTTTTGGTCTTTTGGGCCAGGCTAAACTCACTCAGAACGATGTTCTCCAATTCCATCCATTTACCAGCGAATGATAACATTTCGTTCTTCTTCATGGCTGCATAAAATTCCATTGTATATAGATACCACATTTTCTTAATCCATTCGTCAGTGCTGGGGCATCTTGGCTGTTTCCATAACTTGGCTATTGTGAATAGTGCCACAATAAACATGGGTGTGCAGGTGCCTGAATGAGGCTTTCTTATCTTATCTCCATCTTATGAAAGCCACGAATTTAGCAATGCCATCTAAAGTGCTCCCCATGTGAAAAACCAAACAAAATCAGGTTCCTGTGCCCTACACCTCTTCTTCAGGAGATCAGAGACTTGGTTTTGTGCATTTTTTAATTCAAAGCACTTCCCTGAATGCGTAGATTAGGAAAAGAGTAGTAGAAGTACACATTGTCATCTCTCTCTAGTAAGTGCCTTTGGAGGTAGAAAGGAAAAATAAATCATAAAGAACCAACTGTGAACATGCCGGTTGGTTTGCTCAAAGCATCAGCTTCGATTACAGATGCTCTTTATGTCAGATGATGTTGGGAACCTACTCCTAGCCATTTTTCCACCTAGCCCCCAAATAGGCTCATCCCTCAGGCTCACTGTTCTTCTTTGCCCGCCCACACCTAAGACGATAACTGAGTCTTAAGAAGAATTGAGCAAGCCCGTTGTGACTGCTGTGTAGAGTCTCAGCCTACTGGGGGATGGTCCCTTCTCCCCTTTCAGCTGGCTGGCTGCTTGTCCCTGAAGTTCAGCCTTCAGCCTTGCCAGAGTTTGCCTGAATGAAAAGGCCACACAGCATGGTAGTCACCTGCTTTAGTTAGCCAATGGCTTTGGTCTCATTGGCCTGCTTCCACACCTCATCTTTCCCTGGCCCTGAGTCCTTCCTGCTGAGCAAGAGCAGGACTTTCAGAATCTGCCCAGCTGGCTGCTAAGGAAGGACCCTGATATCCTCAAGACAGATCTAGATTGGTTTCATGGGTCCAAGTAGATTGAACAGGCCCCTTTCCAGGATGGGGGGTGCAGACAGACAGACAGGCAGGCAGGCAAGGCCTGGGAGCTGCCCATTCTGAGTCTCCAGCAGAGAAGTGTGCTGCTTCCCTGGGAATCTCGTTTCAGACAGACAGGGTCTGGCTGCCTGGGATTATATTGCTTCTACACAGTGGAATTACATTCCGACAGAATCCCCCTGCTGCTTTACAGGCTCTGGGGGAGAATGGATTCCAGTCATTTTTCCCTTAACCACACAGCAAGTGACTAATGCTCGCTTGTCACTGGTCGCTGGCAGGGGAGCCTCCAGACAGCAAGCACAGCCATGAAGGATGGAGGTGAAGACCACCGGGCTGGTGCACGCCTTTCATCTGTCAGACGTTTTCCTTTGCTCAGTCTCTTCCTTCCTCTTTCTCCCTGTCTCATCCCACCCGCTCCCATTTAGTTCTTTCCTATCTTCTCATTTCAGAACGGAGTAGTCCACCGGGACTTGAAGCTGGAAAATATACTGCTTGATGACAACTGCAATATTAAGGTAAATCTCTTGCCTTGTGGATTGATAGGCAGGGCCTGGGTATTGCAGCCAGGCAGGGAGCTTAGCTTACCCTGCTCCATGCTGTGCCTGCAATGAGTTAGCCACCACCTTGGCAGGCAGCAGGTTCCAGAAGAGTCTCTCTATTTTCACTCAGTTCAGTTTGAACAGTTAAATTCAACAAGCACTAATTAATCTCCTATGACATGTTTGATACTGTTCTTTCTCCTGGGATAAAAAGATAATAGAGACATAGTCCCTGCTCTCATAAAGCTCATAGTCTACCATCATGACCATAAAAGTGCTTATACATATTTCCTATGTATTTTATATCCCATTTGCCTGATATTCCCTTAAATTCAAACTTCAGGACAGCCATACAAGATAGATACTGTTCATTTACATCATTTCACATGCAGGGGAAACTGAGGCACAGGTTAAGTAAGAAGAAGTTAAGTTAAGTTAAGAAGTCATTAACTTACCCACAGTCATACAATGGTAAGTAGTGGAGCTGGGATTTGAACCCCACCAATCCAAGTTCACATTGCTATGCTGGATTTGCTAGCTGAGCCCCAATTATTTTAGACTTACAGGTCTTTCCCTGGCCACTTTTCTACTCTGTGTCTCCTGTCCTCACTCACCACCCTCCCACCTCCCTCTGAATCAGCCACAGAACTGGAAGCTCAACAGAAATGATGATGGTGTTTGCTGTTGGGAAATGGCAAGTGATGGAGTTTACTTTTGTAGAAAGTATTATTGCTGGCTGCTGTTGGAGCTGGAGAAAGCTCTCCCGGCTGATTGGGTTCAAGTGTCTCCTGGGTAGTGCTCCGAATGTCCTTTTGATCATGTCTGCAAAATAAGCAAATACAGTTTGAAAATAAACAGAGCTCACCGCATGGGTTTCATTATGAAATGGCCTTATACTCCCAGACCCAGCAGGGGCCTTCCAATTGGACACTTGTGACGTTAGTGGCTTTCCTCTGGTCCCCAGGCAAAGCATGGGAATGACCTTGTACCTTTCTCCTTTTTGTTGTTGTTGCTGTCAGTTGAAAGGTGTGTGATAGGACCACTCACTTGCTTGGAAGGATGGAATTCTTTAGGGTTTGGATTCTGTTTGTAGATCACGGCAGCAACCATTAGTCACCATCATCCTTTGAGAGGCCTCTTGCAGAGAAGTTGACCTTAATCGCATGTTTCTATGTCATCCGTAGAGTAAGGAGAAAATAGTTGATCAAAGCAGTTCTCCCTAGGAACAGGAAGTGAAATCTCAGGGTCTCTTCCTTTCTGGCAAAGTGGCTGGATTTTTCTAGAAGGAACACTGACCATGGAGTTAGAAAATTTGGGGCTCTGAGGTTTACTACCTGCTTGACATTGGGAGAACCATGTAACTGCATTTCCTGAACTATAAAATGATTCAACAGTAATACCCAGAGGTTCGATCTGGGGTCTAAGTGATGTTCTCCACATTTGGTTTTTTAAAACTGTTAAGCACTGTGTACAAATGAGTCAAAAGTAAGAGTTGGATAGCGTGGGTTTGCATTGCAATGCTGCCTCTTATTAACTGCCGGGTTTTGGGCACATTACTCACTAGTCTGAGCCTTTGTTTCATCATCTGTTAAGTAGGATGCCAATTCCTGTCTCTAGGGTTTGTTACTTGTTTATTTTTTTCAATGAGTATTTTCTGAGTGGTTACTGTGTGCGGTGTCCTGTTTCCAGTCCTGGAGTATTAGTTAGTAACAAATGAGATGATTTTAGGCCATACTGCTGTCAAAGCAGATAACACATAGCTATTACTATACCAGGAGTCTGCTTAAGTGACTTGTACCTGGAGAGGGAATTGAACCAGAAGCCAGCTACTATGAAGGTACTGGGTTCTGGGGCAGTGGTGGGCAGGCCCCGGCTGGAAAATTGGCATCTGGCCTTCTAAGTGTTTATGTCATCGACCTTGGTGACTTTCTCTCCAGATTCTTCCTGCCACCTGCCCTCAGAGCTCTTAGAACTAAATGTAGTCTTTACAAGGCCTGGAATGTGAGCCTCTCGCCTGGGAATTGGGTCCTGTGTCACAGTGTGACCTCTTGGTCCCATGATGTAGTCCCAGAAGTGATAAGCCACATAGCTTCCTGCAGAGTCATAGAATTCCTCAATGAAGGAGGAGAGTGGTTAGATTCTTGAAAGCAATTGTGCAGGGGACAATGGGGCAGAAGCATGGAAGAATGGCACAATGACTTAAGTTGTAGGGTGATGACATTGGGCCTAACAGTGCCCAGAGACCACATTCTTCAGCCTGGGATCCTATGCATTCTGTAGACAAACAGTACACACATAGAACATTATAAAATTAAGGCTTGGTCATATTTTTCTCTTTACTTTAGGAATTTCTGCTTCTGGCATTCCCCAAGGTAGAATACACACACACACACACACACACACACACACACACACGATAAATAGAAATCGAATCTTCCCAATATTTTTTTTTATCATTTATTCTTCCTGTGCTTGTTCAAGGAATCCTACTAAGATCTGAAAATCCCAGAACTTTGATGGTCATTTTCCAACCCCTTGTTTTAGTGATCAGATCCAAAAAGTCTAAGGCATGTGCCCAAGGTTCCACCGTGGATCAGCGGATTATCACGTGTCTTTGTTTCCTCAGCATGTCACAGAGTGCTTGGCACACAGTAGGTCCTTAAAACTGTTTGCTCTTGGAATGCAGGAAGGATGAGCCAGGATTAGAACGCACATGTTTGACTTCCGGGCAAATTCTCTTTTCATCATCTCACACCCACTTCCAAGGTTCTTTAAACTGTGTTTCAGCTGGTGTTGATTTGTCTTCCTGCTGTATAGGCTCAGCTCTTCCTGACTCAGCATTTTGCAGAAGCATATTTAGAAAGGACACTTGCTGACAGAAGCAGGCAGACACATGGTCACAAGCTGGCCTGTGTGTACACGAAAGCCCAGGCCATTGCTGCCAGGACCTGGGGTCCACAGGCACAGATGGGCTGCCAAGCACCCGGATGTGAATGGCTAGGTCCACTCAGAGCCCGCAGTGCCTGTCCAAATGTGGGTCCATCTTCTGTATTTAAAGAGTGGCCCAGGAAGCCTCTAAAAATGCTGCTGGTTTAAACTTGTCACATGGTGCTACAATTTTGGTGTGAGCTATGCAACTTGTTTCTTTCCTCTTCCCTGGCTGATGTTGTTTTGCAAAGAGCACATCTAGTGTTGGAAATTTATTATTATTATTATTGTTAATTTTTTTCTGTGCCAGAGATCGAGCCCAGGGCCTCACATATGCAAGGCAATCACTCTACCATTGAGCTACAGCCTCAGCTGGAAATTATTTATCTGGCCACTGCAGGAGGGTGTGGTTTCTAAAAATATTCACACAGTCAGTCGGCAGAAGGAATGAGAGCAATGTACTGCTTTGGTTGCATTCCGTACTCTGTGGAAGCATGTACTAAAATAGCACCCAGCATAGCCTTAATTTGCAATTAATAAAAAAAGGGACCAGATTCACATCCCACTCTCTGGGAGAATGGAATGCTGACAATTCCCATAGAAGGCTCCCGTAAAAACGCCTCCCCATGAGCAGAGGGCCAGGCACCAGGGTCAGCTGGCCTCCGCAAAGAGGGCTGGGAATCTGCTGAGCTCCTGGGGCTCAGGGTACAGGAGCACAGAGGAGATGGCCTGCTGCCCCCCATGACAATGGAAGAAGCAAAGCTGCTGAGGTTAAGAAAAGAAGCTTTGAATAGCCAGGGACAAAATAAGATAGAATCTCCAAGGCTTCTTAATAAGACCGAAGCTTGGGATCATGGGCCTCTGGGTTTTGATTACATGAATGTGAGAACTTTGCATTCATACGCTGACATTCACTTGTCCATTCATTAAGCCATTGTGTGTGAGTGTGTGTGTGTGTGTGTGTGTGTGTGTGTGTAGCTATATCTATCTACATCTATCCATGCACACCTGCATTCACTCGTCTATTCCAGCATTTACTTCATTCACCTGTTGAACATTCCTTATGGGCAATATTTATTTGGTCACAAATATTTACCAGGTTCTTACTGTGTAATTGGCCCTGTGCTGGGTGGTGGGGATTTAATAGTGAATCAGACGGCCAGGTTCCTGTCTTCTTGGAACTCAGAGTCTAGCAGTTGTTAAACCATCAGAAATAACAAGCCATGGGAAGGATATAGAGGTAAGTGAAGAAGATAGATTACCTCCCCTAATGGGAATTCCAGTTGGGCGATATAAGAAATAACAAAGAAATAGTGCTGCAATTGTTCAGTGAAGGAAATCCACTCAGCACAATCTGGAGCATGGTGGTCCATTTTCAGAGTGGGTGGTCAGAGAAGGCTCCTCGATAGCACTTTAACTCCAAAATCCCAACAAGCTTTCTGACCTTGGCATACCTGGTTCCTTCTGTCTGGAATGCCCTTCCCACTCCTCTTTGCCTGTCCCTCCTCTGGACTTAGGCTTGAATGCTTCTTCCAAGAAGCCTTCCCTGATCCTTGTCCCTTGGCAGGGCCAGATGGTCTTGTGTCACATGTTGTAGAAGTGCTGAACAGGAAGTGGTAGGTCTGTCCAGCTGGGTGGACCAGAGAATCTTCATTGAGAAAATGGTCATAGAGCTGGGTTTTGAAGGGTGAGTAGAAGTTTAACAGAAAGTAATGTGAGTATAGTCTTTCAAGAGGAAGGAATAGCAAGCACAAGAATAGGGCATGGCGATTAGAAAAAGAAAGTGATGTTTATTGAGTCCCTGCTAGGAACCAGAGCCCTGTGCCAGACATTAAGCATACCTTATTCATTTGGTCCTCATGACGTCCCCAGCAGGGTAGGTCTGAGTTCCACCTTTCTGCAGACAAAGAGGTTCCCCTAGCTAATAAGTAATGGTCTGGCTAGTTGACTCTAGTGTCTGCCCTCTACCATCACCTCCCAAATTTGCCCTCAGTCCAAGAGAGCATCATCTGGGGGTCCATTTTGCTCCTCACTTTAGTCAGCCTTGC